GACATTTCTTCCTAAGAACCCTAGGTTTGATTAATCTTGTACACTTTCCCACTCGTGTGAAGACCCATCATAATATCATTTGTGCAAATATCCCAGAGATCATTATAGAAAAATGAGCTGCTATTAGCAGGTTCTACGCCATACGATTCTTTCACATTCTAAATTTTATGGTAAAACTTATTATTGTCTATAAGCACAGTCAGCCTGTCGGAGAAGACGAAGGAGGAAGTATATCCCCGATAAGTTAACTGAGCTTCAAGATAAGAACCCTTTACCTGACATTTTTCTGAAATTCAGTAATTTTCACAGAAACAAACATCCCACCGGCCACCTTAGTGCCCGTTTCGATTTATGTTGCCCTATCAAAGCTAAGTATATACCAATGTATTGATCCGTACTGATAGATTTTCATCGTCTCTTTTTGAAAACGTGATAGGAAGAAGGCATATGTGAATGCCAGGCACCATGATAATAAACGTCTATTGATTGTAAAGGCACTAATTCAGATCTTCAATCGGATATATGTCAAGACCATTCTGGGCAACCACAGTTGTCAAGAGATAAGGTCGGCTTTGAAGTTACTTTGTGGGACATATGAGAGCTTCTTTCCTGAACTGGAAGAACTAGTTTGACATTTGTATGCCCCTTCTTGTTTAGGTTCACTGACACCCGTTTTCGATTACCCTGGGAACACAAACCTTGTTTCTCCGACTAAGGGTCGCAAAGATTTGGGGCTGCTTAAGTCAAAGAAGGTTCAAGAACCGGACTCATTGACCTCCATTTTATGGAAAACCTGTACTGTTAAGTACTGTTTAACCAAATCATTACTCTCTCTGACGACCTCAATCATCTTTAGTTTGCTTATAAACATTCAATTTCAACTTTTTGCGTCTTTGCTTACGTTCTGTACTCTACGGCTTCGATTTCAAATTGGACTTCTGTAACCGATAACATTCTTTACTATGTTTATGCCAAAGTATTTAACCCTCTTGGTTGTTGCATTCTCATTCGCTGCCTTGATGAGTGTTGTTCAGAATCCGACGTGCGAAACGTTCTTACAGACCACAATTCTTTTAGGACACAATTTATCCCATGCAGTGGTAAGGCTTTGCCCGCTTTTATTGCTAATTCTGGCGTTGTTTGCAGGGTATTTTGTCGCCATTCTTTTTTCTCTTGTTATAAACAATCTGTTTGTCTATACCAACATTAATTTCTAATGCTGGCAATCAAAAATGTATCTTTCCACGAACCTTATGACAGCCTAAATGATTCCTGCCTCCAGTTCTTATGTTCATTGTTTCCCAATTTGCTGATGCTCCTTCCAACCACTAATCCGGCTCCAGTTATCAAATTATTTTAATAATACACCTAAGCTCGGTGTCAAAGCTGACTATGGAAAATACTTCGGTGTCGTTCTGTCCCACAATCTCTCCTGGATTAGTCATGTGGAGAACGTTAACAATTGCTTTTTTTAATTTGTATGCTTTCAGGTTCAAGATGCTGATTGATCCCACAAAATGTCATTTTAAAATTTGTGGTCACAAGCGTTTTCTCTCATTGAAAGTAATGTTCCATTGGTGCGTGTCATGTCTTGCAAGAGAAGGATTTTTCACTAGTTTCCAGATATATCAAACTCCCTCCCCGAGTTAGTATTATAACCGAAAATTTTCCAGTTGGTTTTATTATGTGCAAACATTTACGTAGTTGAACGAATAGCAGATGAAATTTTGAACAACGAAAATCATTGCTTGCACTACAAGGATCCTAAATCCAAATCAAACCCCTCTTACTCGCTACCATTATGAGCTCCTTACCGCGCACACCACCACATATAGAAACAGTATCCTCCTTCATCTTACCTGTTTCTTTTGTTTCTTTTTGAACTGTTGGTATCGTCTTCTTGCTCGTAATGTTTTTGTTCATCCTATTCATACTATTTGCGTTCCATTTCATAACTTCACTACTGTATTCTCGTGAAATTGCGAAAACTTTAAGACCTCTGCTGCTATGACGTAATTAACCAAGCTCAGTAACTGTTCAAAATAAGCCTCATCTATACCATCTTACCGTACGCGTTTCACATAATTAACTAGATATATCAGGCAAAATACCACGCAAATATCGCAATAAATGACAAAGCAGAACGAGGACACTCATTTTGAGAGCAGTGTTCACACATCATCATGCAGATACGGTGTATCAGGTCAGAGGTTGTGTTCCGAATAATTCACGAATTGTGAGAAACCGTTAAGAACCATTTGATAACAACACCTTACGACACCTGTAGCAATGGCAATTGATCTATTCAGGTCATCACTTTGTGCCCGAAACGATCGCTCGATTCACCCCGGAATAATCCGGACAAAACCGCTTGAGACGATCATACCCTGGTGAATGCCCTCGTGATTTCGGTCGGAAATAAACGTTCAGGCAATTCGTCGTCAGGAAAAACGTGTGATCAATTCACAGATATTTGTTTCACAAAACAACAGGAAAGAGGAATGTTTTTCTTCCTGTTTCGTTGTTTTTGCTATATTTATATGACGGTTTTCTGGACAACCCTCGTCAACTTTGCAAAACGCAAATGGTCACATATCATAGATTATACAAGTATAGACAACTCTTTCTCAAGAATTACAAACACTGAGTCTGCTTTTGTTATTTTATTGCAGGAACTGTTTTGGTAAACATTGAGCTTCTTGTTGTTAAACTGGTTTTACTACAACCGTTCTTCGATGTCTGACTGCATGTCGCAATTGTGGTCCACAAATTTCACACCAATATATGAACGTTTTCTTTGGGTTAAATGCAATGAAAAATATTTGTTACTACTTGAATGTTGTTTTGTGCAGCAGCTGTTTCTCCGTTCACCTAACTGTTACAGTCTTGTATGCACGGCGTTCAACCAGAAAGATCGGGTGCATTCGTTCGGTTTGCCAAATTATTGGTCAAAATTCTTAGTGTAGTTCCCATCACGTGATGTGAAATACGAGTTAGTAGATGTAGAGCAATTCAAACTGCTAGTCGTTAATGGCCATCCTGACCTGCATGACTAATTTGAGTGTATCCATCATATGTCATACAAATTTCATATAAAGCAAGCATTTTAATAATAGGGCTTTTGAATCTATCGACTTTTTCCAAGGAAACAGGTAATTATGGCAGCTTTTGTGAGTCTTTCTTTGAAACGACTTCTAGATGACCTGAATTTTAATGAACGTCACGTGATTATATGTATATGTTTTTCTGATAAAAGTTTCCCTCATTACAACCATATAAATTTTCATATTTTTCAAGCAGAGGGAATTCTTTCGATATGAGACGGCCCTACGTGAATGGAAGGTCCAAAATTGTTTTGCGCAATTACACCATTCAATCTTTTCGTGGGGGCTTGTGTACATCAAACCTTTTGCGATTCGACAAATAAGCGGCCAAGGTTGGTCATGTTTCCGGGAATAATAAAACTGCTGAATCATAAATTCAGATATTCGCCGGCTGTCTAGCTCCCTGAAGTTCACGTTGGAATAATCTAAATCAGGAGAACACTAAGTACCACAGTTTAAATTATTTCGTTGTTGAGTTTATTCCTTTGCGGGTAATTTATCAGCTCACGTAATGCGTAGGAATGTTGTGGAAAATGTCAGGGTCTATGATTGAAGGAAAACACTTTCCGACAAACCTGGTTTCGTAGATAATTGAAAATATTCCTTACTATTTGATATTTATCCCAACCTTTAACGTATGTATTTGATGACTATCAATCAGGCTACCGCAAAGTGGACGTGGATGCTGCAAAGTCAGCCGTCCTTATAATTGCGCTGTTTCTGATGGCATGGCTTCCATACGCCACAGTGTGTGCTGCCGCCCTGTTCGGATGTCATGAGAACCTCAATCCATTTTGGACAGAGCTGCCAGGGCTATTTGCCAAAACATCTGCTATTTACAATCCCTTTATCTACATGATCAAAAATCCAAATTTTCGGCGAAAACTGTGGCAAAAGTTTGGATTTTTCCACTGGTGCTTGCCTAGACGACGTGTAAGTTTGAACTACATGTCTCTTGAAGAACAGAAGTGACACTGACAGAAGATTTATCTGAAAATATTTATTGTGTAACGAAAGAAGATGATTTGAGAAAAATGTTTACATTTAAATTTGAAGTAAATAGGCGTCGGATAATGGTCCATGATTCCATAAATGGTGTATACTTGTATCACCTAATAGTTTTGAAACTGCACCTGTCTGAGTTGCAATAATTAATCAAACTTATTCAAAATGTATATCATTCGCCACAGATAGATAAACAGACACAATTTTTATTTTTGTTTCGTATTTTTTCTGACCTTGGTTCAGATGACTAACACTTGACCAAATAGGACTTTGTTTAGATCACAAATTGAACACCACCCGTTGGATCCAGTAGGTCCGATAGATCAAAATCAAGCTACCTGCAAAACTCAGAAATGATATGCTATTGTTTTCGGGGTATTAGTATCCGGAATAATGAAAATACTAATTTTATATTAGGAGAACAATGTACACCACTAATACACCTTGAATCAAGTAATTTACCGGAACCAGCGAACTAAATAATACTAACCAATATAGGATTGCGAAAGCAAAGAGGTGCATCACCACGTAAACTGAAAAGCAAAATGTTGTGTAGCTTCGAACGCACATGTTTACATAGGTCAGGCAATTTCTAAATTTAGGGAACCCATTCGAGTATCGAAACGGCACACTGATAAGAAAAGACTCGAAGAGGGCTACGAGAAAGTAAACTGAACAGAGGGAGAGAAATTCCGAAGTTTTGGCAAGGGAAGAAAAGCAGGTTTCACTAGTGGTGATGAATGCCATGAAGCTGGATATCGGGTGATCAAAGCAATTTATGAGCTAAGACAATTGCAACTTACTTGCAATTGCCAATATATATATGTATACATGGGAAATGGGATTAAGGCTAGGGTGGAAAAGGGATTAAGCGATGACAAACATGAGTTCTAAAGTACTGTACAAATCAATTTCACAATATAAGTCATAATAATACCATTTGTAACGGTAGAATTCAAAACCAAATTTAAAACATCCAATCTGCATTTGAAACTTGATTTGCTTGTTGGTATACCAGCTTCCACTTTTACCTAATGGTTTAGTTGTAGAGAACTAAACTCTGTGTTTAGACTAAATACTTCAAAAAATTTGCAATTTTCAGAGAACAAACGCATAAGTGCAGTCCCAAAGCTCTGAAATCAATAGTGGCATAACCCGCTGTGATAACCCACTTTTACCGGAGTGACTTTTTCATTATCATCCATTTGAAATTGGTTGGCAAAATGCCACATAAGTTTGTTATTTATCCATGCATTAGTCTCAGAATCATCGAGCAATTGTTCCTTTTTCTGAAAAACGCCGATGGGAATAAACACGAAGTAGTGGGAAACATCGAATTGTATTCGTAAGAGGTGTAACGTCTTTAGCATTTGCTAAGCACGACCTGTACCGTCGTGATTTATTTATTCAAATAGACCGACGTTTCAGACAAACCGTGGCAATAAAACTTTCTGCTTTGTTCATTTACATTCACATATTTGTGTTAAACACAGAAATTCAGTCAACCATTTGTTTGTTTGTTCATATTGTATGAGAGAAATATAAGGAGACATATTTTCAACAAGTGATACACGAGAACATCCGCGTAGAGAGAATATTGATTGTTGATGATCGTACCCCCTCACCCTCCATTTCTCTTATCTCTGTAACGATATTCCTTCAGACATGGACCGGCGTAACTGTCGTATCGAAAATCTCATTGGATGGAGTTCAATCTTTAGCTCATTCCGAGCACTCGATAATACGGCAGCGAACGGTGTCACAGAACAGCATGGGCAACTTTCAAGATCTATCACTTCATGAAATCGATGTGGTGAAGACCGAATTAAAAAATGATCAAAACTTGTTATCGAAATCAAACTTTTTGTAATGATGTTTTACATATATATGTGTGTCCTGTCCCGTGAAGCTCACAGTAAACAATCCTTTCTGGAATGTGACATCCACGGTTTAGTGTCACCCCAGCCCCGGTGCATACATACTTACACGTGTGTCCCGAAAGAGTTCTTGTTTTGCCATCATAAGAGTTTTCCGTTTTCTGTGATTGTATGTATCGTCCGCTTTATGAAACAAGTTCTTGCAGAATACAACTCAGGGGGTTTGTTGAATGTTTCTGTTGAATAAATAACTGCAAAGAATTCGAAGAGAGAGATTTTCTCATAAATCATTTGTTTTAATAAAAGGAAAATTGTTGTCGATGGTGATGATGTTGGTTGTGAGGTGCGGCGGGGTGGAGGTGGCGGTGAGCATGAAATGGACATGTATAACTTGTTTCATCCTATATGTCTACGTTTCAGTTGAAGATGTGCACTGGTTGCCAAACCAAATAGAAGATACAATTTCATATAACCTAAAAAGTAAAGAATGTCGCAGAAGTTTGTTTTATGTGCACACATTCTGAAGTAGTTGACTAGAGACTTGTTCCTACTGATTAGTTGTCAAGCAAGGTATCATACTGATGAATTCGTGTAGATATGAATACAGGAGTTAAGATGCCTAGCACATGAGCTGGTTGAGGGAATACAACGACAAGAGGACGTTATGGGCTGCAGTGGACAAAGTGGATCGTCTATAATCTCACTGGCAACTTTAATACAAAAATAATATGACAATGAAAGAGTTATGTGATTATTGAATCGACTTACATCTGGGATACACCACTTATCATCGGTAAGTCACGAGAGTTCATTTTGAAGTGGAAAAGTCGCATAAAAACATCAAACAACAATCAATATAGCGAACAAGCTTGTTTTAGTAACCTCGTCTTAAGGCATTTCCAGTTATGTGTGTGATTATATATAACGTAGAAAAACATTCCATTGGTTCATTGAGGTTAAATGTGAAAATACAACAATGTCTGTCACGTTTCCTCAGAGTGAATTAAGGAAATGGAGGCAGTGGGCGAATAGGAGGGAGCAAGGTTAATTCTAGAAATTCCCGATGCCATTTTTCACGCGCAATTTGTCACGCCAAGTTGCCTTAGCACGACATGACTAAGGTCATGGTTCGGATCGTCACGTAGGTTGGGGTAGAGTCAAGGCAAATAGAGTGCAGCAAAAAGTTTCTTTTAATTGCACAGTGGTGGATTCAGGATATTGATTGCTACTGCTTCTGCAGTTGCCAAGTGACGTTACTAAACGTACTTTGACTTGTGTTTGGGGCACTTTGTACATGACTTTAAATGCATTGTTGTCTGTCTGGTGGCCGGTATCGGCGAGGTGAGCCCTAATCGCACCGGTCATTGTTTTCTTCCAACCCGTGCTAAACCAAGTGGGTTTATGTTCTCTGATCCTTTGTGCGAACTGTCTCATCGTTTGACCTACATAACTTGCCGAACATATGCAAGTGAAGGAATAAGTAATCATAGACCAGTAGTGGCCTCCCTATAAACAACATATGTAGTCTGGATGCTAGACTTGTTTGTGCAGTTGCTTTTCTCAAACGTCTTCTTAGTATGTCATCACTAGTATTGCTTTTGGACGCGAGATGCAATGATACTTCCTTCTGGTCATGATTGGTTCTGGCAGTGTCAACTTTTCGATGAGTCTCTTCTCGATGTAGCGCTCGGGGTATCCATTATTCATGAGTGTAGACTTTATGAATCTTAGTTCTTCCTGCACTAGATCCTTGAAGCAAATCATTCGAGTTCTGAAGGCAAGACATTGGACTACGTTCTGTGTAAACTTGATTAGGACGAAACTTTTGAAATGGATGTATTGGCCGTTCCATGTTGGTTTTCAAAAGACTGAAAAGCTTAACTTTGCATTGGGCCCCTTCTTAAGGTTTACGTCGAAGAAGCAAAACGTATCCTGATACTGTTTTTCCATCGTAAAGCTGGTTGACTGGTGAGCTCGGTTAAAACAATCCAATATTATGCTCCGTAAAATACTTTGTTCGGAAAGGATAGAAATGTCGTCGACATAACGGCAGTATAAACGGAGTTGATGAATGATGTCTCGTAGTTTGTTGTTTTCCAGTTTGGCTACGAACACATCTGTAAGACATGAGCCAAGTGGGGAGCCCATGGCTGCCCAGTCCTTATTTTTTGTAGATTGTGTGATTAAAATTGTGTACTATAGGTACATCGCAATAATAGTTCCGTCAAATTTCCAGTTGGAATACCGATTTTTCGATTTCACATCAATGTATTGGCAGAGATAAGACACCGTCTCAAATGGTGTAAATTTGTAAAGTCTTATTTTAAAATGCTGGGATATACTACAGGTGAGCAATAGAGTAGACTGGATAAAATGTATTGATGAACAATAAGATGAAATTGACTTAAGGGTTTGGAATAATTCAAGTTTACCTGGTTGTAAGGAAAGGCCTCTTACTTCTCCCAGACAATTTTGAATCTGTGTGGACCACCGGAGATTAATGTCAATGATGACACCCTGGAAAATGACGGAGGTATGTTTAGACACAGGGCAATAGTAAGTAAGGAGTAGAAGGGTCTTTCGGAAGCGGGGAGAGGGAAAGACCAAAGATACACTCTGGACACTAATGTTTCAAAATAAACACCAGATTGTTTGGAAAACTGTTGGATGTGGGATAGCTTTTCAGTAAATTAATGCAAAGAGGCAATGTTCTAAGGTAAAAGAATATTTCCAGCAATCTACCGGAAGTGTGCAGGGATTGGGCTCGAAAGATCACTAATGGAAGCAGAAAGAAAGAAGGAACTTGACCAGCATCTTGAAGCACACCGGGATTATTGGCTAGAGGTTTTGATATATTCCTGCCGAATTTGGTAAGGTGGTGGTGTTGGGGGTGATTGTGGTGATGGAACCGATCAATCATGAGCCCAGAAGCACAGATAAATTTCACCGCACTGTATCAATTGAGGTAGGTAAACATTGCACCTAGTGCATAATCTTTTATCTTCTTCTCCTTTTTCCGGTAGTGTGGTCAAAGATTAGATCGGTAGGATGAAAAAGAGATACCTGGAAGGTCGTTTATCGATCTAAGTG